TGGCAGCTCTGACCCTCCGCCTTGGCTGGGGAGGGGGATGGGGGCTGTTTTTTTGGGGCTGTTGCTTGAAGTCAGGAGCGTGAGAGTGTGTCCCCCGAATCCCCCGTGTCCTCCCGTCTCCGTGTCCCCCATCCCAGCTAGGGGCAGGTGGCTGGACCAGCCAGCGGCAGAAATTTGCTTTTTTTTTTTTTAGTTATCCAGGCATTGTGATTTAAACCTTTAACACGTTATTCTCAGCCGTCTCACCGTTTCCCCACTGGTTCCTTTAGGAATTATTTTATCCGAGTGGCTTATAAAAATAAAGGCAGCGAGCACCTCGGCTTGCAGGACCGGGCTTGATCCTGGCTTGAACCAGTGAAGCGGCAAGGGAAGGAGAAGGGTAAACCGGGGTAAAACAGTATCGCTTGAATTCCTCAGTAGGTCTGTGTCAAAGGGCAGAGCCGTATTGATTCAAGGGAGCTGTTTAGTTTTGAGGGTTTCAGTGGAATTGAACTCTTTGGGCGATAAAGCAGTCGGAAGAGCAGCTACTGTGCATGTGGTGTCTATTAAACTCCCGTCTCCTGGCCAACTCCGGAGTGGCCAGGCCAAACAGAGTCGGAGCGTTCAGTCAGTCCCTTGAAGCCAGGGAAAGAATCTGGTCCGTTAGTTTGAAGAGAGTCCAAATGTGTAGATTTATAAAAGCGCTGCGGTGTTTTCGGGGAAACATCTGAAAATAATAAAAGGAGTAGCTCTCCCTGTCCTTCCTGCCTCTCTATCCTCGTCTCCCCATGCCCCGCGGGAATACCGTGTTTCCTACGTGCTCTTAATGTTTCTCGATGTTTGGGGGAAGGTTGCAATTTGGCAATCGTCGCCAAAATAATAACCTGTGAAAATCGGCGTGTTTAATGGAAAGTGTAATTTTAGTGGTAATTTTACCCGCAGAGTTTCAGCTCTGTAAGACCACATCTGGACTGTAAAGTTATTGACTTAACACACCTTCAAACGCAGTAAGTAGCGCACTTATTTTTATGACTGTATTAATATTGCCGTGATTTATTAGCTCATTTTGCAGTTCCATTTGTATCTACGCTGCTCTAGAAACAATGACGATGATCACTAATCTTTTTGGGTGAGGGTCGCAAGATAGATCTCGCTTGGCAGAATGGGAGTTTAATGACTGTGAGCACATAATTAAAGCGTGGAAGATTGAACGCTTTCATATCGCTCGCCGTAGTCCGGCGAGATGTTCGCGGGATGGACCACAGAGAGAAGAATAAATAAATTTTAGTTTTGGATTGCTGTGTAGTGAGTTTTTAGTGCTGTAAGTGCTTGCAGGGAGCCTGGCCTGATACCAGCGAGATGTTTTAAGATGATTCTGCATATGGTTATGGTAAACTTGGAGAAGTAGTGCAGGGAAGGTTTTTGGCGCGGCCAGATGCGTCGCAGGGAAGCGTACGCTGTGCTGGGAAGAAGTTGCATCCTTTCTACTGAGAAAAAAATCAGTAGATGTTTTGCTTTAACTCTGCATAGAGCAAGTGTGTTTTCAATCACACGCACAACTATTTTTCCTAGTTTCCTCTTCTTTTTGTCTCTCTTGTTTTGTCTTCTTAAGGGCCTTGCTATACGGAGGGTTTTTTCCCTGGGAAAGTCAGACAGAGCTAAATGTTTTAAGCTGGGATGTGTTGGAGTGGAGGAAAATAAAAGTTGGACAGAGGTTCAGGTTTTTCCAATGAATATCTCAAAGTGGTGTAAACATTTTTAAAATATTTGAACTTGCTAGGAAACCAAAATTACACCAACTGCTTCTCATGCCAAGATATTTGGCCCGAAGGCACCTGTAGGTCGTTGCTTGTCTTAAGTAAATGTAGAAAAAAAAAAAAATTCCTTGGAAATATCGCCACAGAATTATTTTGTTCTTTCTCGGTAGTTCAGTCCCATAACAATTTCACTGCTGTGGCAGGAGAATCTGCCTGTGGGTGCCGAGTCGTTTACATTATAACCCAAGTTCCTGTCTGAAAGCATTTATTCTTACTGGAGTGTTTTATTTTATTTAAATTTGAAATAGCTGAAAGTCTCTTTTTTGGAGTAGTTATTTTTGCTAGCGAAAAGAAAATGTTCTGCAAAAGCAGCGAGCATCTCATATGAAATTCCATGACTTACTATAGGTTCAGCTAATTATGAGAAGATTAAACACCTTTTCTAGACGGCAACATAAATTACCTAATGGATAATCCAAGCATGATGTGACATTTTATCCTAAAGCAAAACACTATTTTAATTTTTTTGGCACTCAGCAGGGCTTAAAGTAAACCTCAGTAAAAAGAAGAAGTGATGTTGGCGTGTCTACTGCTCTGCTCACACAGTGGTTTGGGGAGCGCGAGTGTCCTGTTTGGGAACCTGGGAACCTTGCTGTCTGTCTGTCTGTCTGTCTGCTTTACGGGAACACAGGCGAAGGCAAATGTTAAGAACTGAGTGGAATCTGAGATGTTTGCCAGTAATATTTAGAATTTAATTGCAAAAATTTGAAGAGATACTTGACGTGACGGCACAGGGCCAAATCCTGCCCTCGCTTGTGTGAATTGAGAAAAACTGCAGTCATGGGCCGAGTTGCTACGGGGTGTAATGGTGTGACCCCCGCTGTGTCTGCAGAGCTTTCGGCCCAGGGACCTTTCGGTGTGAGGGGGATCAGAGTCAGGGACACAGGCGGCGTTTGGGGTGCTTGGGGTGTTTGCGTTTCCTACGATGCCTGTGCAAGAGGACGCTGCTCTGCCCCGCTCTGCTCCGCTGGCGACGTTTTGGGGGCGTAGCTGAGATTTCACAGGGGATTGTTCCCTTTTCCGTTGCCAGAGCCAGGCTCATTTCCCACGCAGCCGCCCAATGTTGCTTAGGGGTTCGGGCCGCTCCATCTGCCTTGTGTCGTAATTCAGCGCGGCCATGGCAGTTCTGGTGCTGTGGGGAAAAGGGCAGGAGACCCGGTGGATAATGGCATGTAGGCAGTGCCGGGAAGGCTCTCTGCAGATGCTTGCTTCCATAAAAAGGAGTTTTGAGGAATTCAGCTTGGTGTAGCTTATACAAAGAACAGTTTCCTTGTCTCCACCAAAACTTTGCAGTGACATCAGCTCAGTGTGGCACTTTTCTTCTGTCTTATATCTCCTTGTATGATCTATGATCTGAGTCTCCTCTTCCTGTTTTTTTCCATTAGCCAAAGACAGAGTTGCACAGAAACGGGTCTGGGCCAAGGCTCCTAGAGACCCTTCACGTCCCTGAGTGTAGCACACTGCGGGAAAACAGCCGTTGTGCTCCGTGAGACTGTGCCCTGGGTGATGGCACACACTGGATTTCATAGGAAATACAAAGAATTCCTTATTTTCTTATGGTTTGGGGCAGAAGTAGTAAAAAGTTATATGGGGTAGCTAGTAACAGTTGGCCAAGGCTTCCTTGTGAGTGGCCAGGCTGTGCGGTGGCACACGGCGAGCGAGGATCGTCGCTGAGCGTCCCCCGACGCTGCAGAGCTGTCCCAGAGCTCTGAATCTCTGGGAGGCTGAATTTAGCTTTTTACTGTCATTTCCCCTTGTGATCAGATGCGGGGCATGCAGGTTTGCATGCGGGGGGAAGGAACTTTCCCTGTGGCTTGTCATGCCTTACGCTGTGCTTCTGTGCATGCATTAGTGCTGGGGGTGTCAAAGCTTGGGAGCGTCTGTGTGTGCCCGGGGGAGGTGGATGGTTAGCAGAGAGCTGCTACATGCGATGTGGGTTGGTTTTTGGTTGGTTTTGTTTTTTTTTTCTTTTCCCCTCTCCTTCAAACCCATTCATGGGAGCTAATAATGTTCTTGAAAGGCATCCAGGATTTCTTGAGCCAGACTTTGTTATCTCCGAACCTTGCAACCCTGAAGCCTTTGAGCAGCAGGGAAAGGACGCGGCTCCAGCGCTGCTCTTTTGACTTTTGCTGTGAGTGTTATTGGCAGTTGAAAAGTAGAGCTAAGTAGATGCCTTGAGGGGTTTTTGTGTGTGTTGTGATTGTACAGACAGATCAAGACACTCTATAGCGCAAGCTGTTGAATAAAATCCGTCGTTTCAGCTACTCTGGAGTCACCAGGCTGCATTTTGGCACGAAACTTGTATCCCCTTCCAGGGAGAGCTTTTCACAGGCGCGTTTAAGAAATACATAGGTGGGAAGAGACAAAAGAATCTGGCGAGGAGTCAGATGGCTATGCACTGTGAGCTGCTCCGGGACATTATCTTTATTCATTGACACCACCTAATCTGTTCTCCTGATGGACTCGAGTTTCAGCTGAGAGTGGCCCTTGTTTTTCTTGGTGCATTTGCAGAAACTCAGTCCTGCAGCATGCTTCTTGGGTTTATTACTTTATGATCTCTTCTTTCTTTTTTTCCTTCTTTTATCTTTCATTACAAAAATAGGACCTTTCTGTATCAGCTTCCCCTATCCTCACCCCCATGTTTGGAAAATAAATCCTGAAATGCAAAGAAAAAATGCAGGAAACCTGAGAAAAAGCTGTAATTTTGTAACTATGAAGAAGCTATTTTGACGCTTTTACTTAGTGCACAACGCTTTGGATTTGCTGTTAGACAGAAAAAGTGTGTCCACATGTAGAGGGGCTCCAGGTCCCTTTTGTATCGCTGGCTGTTTGGCCAATGTTTTAGTCCCAGGACTACAATTAGGAGAGGCCCTAAGTGCTGTGTGCATCTGTAGCAGCTGGACAGGTCTCCCCACGATGTCGTGCCCCCGTTTTACTGCTCCCTGACACACAGCAGCACCCGGCCTTAGGAAGCAATCTGTAATACGTGTGAAGTTTGGTCTTCTGCAAACTGTTTTCATGTGGGATTAAAAATAGCTTTTACTGCCATGATGAGGAATTAACATTTGAAACTGGTTTAAGGGATCCTAGGCAGATATTATCGAGGGCAGGCAAGAGGGGCTGTGGCTGCCTTGTTTTGGGGGGTCTTTCTCACTGGCATTGAGTCAGCAATGGGTGAGGAGCACAGCTTGGCCCTCCTGCCCCCCACTTTCACGCTGATGCTATTCCCTGACTTTGATGTGGCAGCTCCCGAGTTTTGTTCCCGATCCAAAGCCCGCCGAAGCTGATGAAGGGCTTCTTGCTGATACAAGCAGGTTTTGAGTCTGAATTTTAGCCTGGCTCAGCTGCAAGGCAAAATTAAGTTGGGTTATTCCATGTGTTGTTACGTAGATAGTGTCAGACTAAAGTGATTAAAGCTGCATGTTAGTGTTGGCTGCGATTTTTCGGATAAAAGCTGTGACTTGCAGAGTGGAACGAGTCGTGGTCTTCCCGACTGAGGAATGCTTTCTCTGTCACTGTCTCTTTTAAATAAAGGGTAGGTTTATATACAGGCTGTGCAGTGGGGTGTGCAGAAGTAACCTGA